CCTTAGGCCCCTAGCGCTTGTTTACTGATTGTGTCACCTGATCTTGCTCCAGGTTGTGAGGCAGGGTGGGAGGGCAGTGTGACTAGGAGCCCTCCCCAGGGAAGCTGGCTCTGCATGGCCACCCCTTCCTCCTCCGCAGGAAGCCGGGGGACTGAAATCATCGGACCTTGGTAAGGGGAAGGAGGGAGGGAACGACCGCCCTGGGCTCTGGTCTGAGTGATTCGTGTTCCTGCTGCTCGGTCCAGAAAGCGGGCTCCAGGACCGTCCCAGGGCTGGGTTTAGGTGGAAGACCTGGAAATAATCCTCAGAGCCTACAGCCACCAAAAACATGTGTAAAGGGAAAAGCAGCCCGCGTCAGACTCCTCAGGGGTACGCCCTAACGAGTGATGGACTGGCAGGTGGTGCGCTGGTTAAGGCAAAATATATATATATATATAAACATTTTGCTGCAGCAAAAATAGTACACAACAGCAGCCAAGGGTCAGCTCTATGGAGGCTGCTCAGAAGCTGGATCCCCATGGCAACCGTGGTTCAAAGCTCTGCTGATCAGCTTGGCACCCTGCCTAGCACATGCACAGGGCCTGAGTCCACAGGCTGGAGGACTGGAAGAAGGGGCTGTGGTGTAACCGGATGGTGCTCCCCTCTCTCACTCTCACACACATGTACACTCTATCATGAATGAGGGGGAAATGTTTTAAAAAGTACCCCCCTTGGGGCCAGCAGTTGGTATGGTGGTTAAAGGTGCTGGACTCCTACATGGCCAACCATGGTTCGAGACCTGGACCTGGCAGCTTGCTCTCTCTCTGATCAAAACTGAAAAATAATGATAATAAATAAATAATTCTTTAAAAAAAAGCACCCCCCAAAAACTCAAGAAAGTCAAATTTGAATCAAGGATTTTCTAACACCCAGCTATCTTTCAAGTGTCAATATAGAAAAAGTTTTAAAGGTCTAGCCTTTGTTTTCAATAGAAAGGAAGGAAAATGGACAACTCCAAATTAAATTTCCAACTCCAAAAATACAAAAAAAAAGGGGGGGGGAGACACCAAAGGAAAAAAACAAAGCAGGCAGAAGAAAGCGCAAAGAGGGAGATAATAGCAAAAGCAGAAATGAATAGTGGACAGGAAAAAGTAAGCTATAATTAGGAAATTAAAACCTTTTTTCTCTGAAAAATTCAAATAACTAGATAAGCACCTAGTTAAATTAACTGAGTATAGGGGTGGGGTGAAGGGGGTGTTTGACGTTCCAGTCTGAGAATTAAACTAATGAACACATTAACAGGAAAAAGACATATGCATTTATTTAAACACACACACACATATAAATTATTATTATTTGTTTAAAATTTCAACAGAGAGAGAGAGAGTGAGAGAGCAAGCCTCCAGGTCTGGGATTTGAACCACAGTTGACCCTGTGGGAGTCCAGCACCTTAACCACCATGCTCTGCCAGCCCGTTATTTTTGTTTTTAAAAACTGTTTGGGGCTGGCTGGTGGTGTGGTGGTTAAGGACAGTGGAGCCATGTGGCCAACTGTGTGGTTCCAGCCCTCGGCCTGGCGACTGGAGAAGCGCCAGGCACAGGTGCGTGTGCCCGGAATCCCAGTCAGAGGGAGGTGGAGGAGAGAATGCAGTGCACCCATTCCCCAGGAAGGCGCTCTCACTTTCTCTCCCAATCTTTTGCTCTCGCTGTCTCTCTCCAGTGAGAGCATACGCCCACTCTGACAAATTACAACCACGAACAAAAAACCCCAAGGGCGTTCGTCGGAGAGACAGCGAGCTTTGTGACAGGGCCTCCTCATCAGCCGCCCCTGCGTCCTCCTGCCGGGCCAGTTGGCGGGGACCAGGGGCAGCTGAGCATCCGGCTGAGCTGGGGCTCGAAGCTGTGCCTCTCCAGCTGCGGCTGCGGCTGTGATTGGGCGTGCTCATTCTGTACGGATGTGCGTGCGCAGGACTCCTTTGATGTGAGAGGCCAAGTGGGGAGGGTGGAAGTTCAAACACCATTTTATGGTACAAAAGAAATAGGCGCTGGGAGCCTGGGAGGTGGCCAGGCTGTGGGAGCTGAGGGGAAGCCCCAGAATGTGCTGTACCCCGTGCCCTGCCTAGGGGCAGTCTCTCTGTCGGGAGTGTCAGCCCCTAGCTTCAGGCAGATAAGGGGTCCCCAGGAGCACCCCTGGACACTGTACTTCTTATTTACTATTATTATTATTATTTTTGTAGAGGTTTTTGCCTTAGGGCATGTGTGCTCATTGGGGAGAGAGAGAGACAGAGACAGTGAGAGGGAAAGTGAGAAGTCCCCCACCAAAAGGATGGCCATGCCACAGTCCCTTCTCCATT